ATGCTTACAAATGCAGATTCCTGAGTTCAAGGTCAGCCTAGGACTGAACAAGGTTAGGCTGGTGGAAATGGTAATTTCAGGGCAGGACCCCACTCAACTTGGTTATTGTCTATGCTTTATAAAGGCAGACAGGTCTCGGAATTCTTTTGCAATGTTAAGGAAAAAATGTATGCTTGCTGTCTCCTAAGAAGAGTCGAGGATGCTGTCTCATAAGATAATCTAAAGGAAACTTGGAGTGTAGAGTGAAAAATTATGAAGATCATTTTATAAAATGATCTATAGATTCTTAGGTTTTTCTTTTAAAGGGCATGGAAAATTCTCTCTGAAGCAAGCTAAGAATGTGGACAGGCTAGTTACGGGAACTGGCTAGAATGCAAGTGAGCTAGGTGGAACCAGCAAGCTGGTAACTGCAGTGACAGGGCAAGGCTGCAGTGACAGGGCAGGACCACATTCTTGAGAAAGAATAGCGTAGAGAGAGTTTTCACCTGACCCTGACTCACGTAGGTTGGGTTCCTTTGGAATGTTCCGCTATTTTTATGTTATGCCACCTTAGCAACCCCTCATCCCCCTCCCCATTCCTTAGTTTGTGGTTTTTCCCTTTAAAAACTCCTCTCAAACTGGTTGTCTTGGTCAATTCAGCTCCTGCATGAGCAGATGAATTGACCATTAGCCCGGCTAACATTCCTGAATAAAAGCCTCTGTTGATTGCATCCAGATTCGGTGCCTTTTGAGTTTGTGGGTGGTTGTGTCACCCGGAGACTTGAGTGAGGGTCTCCCCGGAGTGGAGGTCTTCAGGAGTAAATGACTGGATTGATATGTAAAATAAAAGACTGGACCTGTGTTCTGCAGATGAGCTATCCAGATAATTTTTTAGGATAAAAAGAGAGGCCTGTTTGAAGAACTGAGAGACACAGACACACATGCATACACACACACACACACACACACACACACACACACACACAAAGAAGCAGGACATGGACAGAGAGATCTGTTAGAATAGAAAGCAAGTAGAACATAGAGAACTCTCCAGAGAGAATGCAGAACATAGAGAGAAGCTCACTGGAAAAGCTGTATTAGGTAGATCACAGGTCAGCTCATCGCCCCCAGACACCCCTTTCTCAGAATCCCCTCCAAGCTGAAGCTGGTCTTTGGAAGGAAGAATATGACCAATACATATAAATATAAAATTTGTTTTAAATAACAAAAAGTAAGGAAAAACAATTATAAAAAGAAATTACATTCAGGAACTATTATAATAGATGAAAATAGATCCCAGTATATGACTGGGGTCACTTCTAATACGGCAGAGCTCTACAAACCGATTTATAGCCTAGAGACGATTAGGGGTGGGAGGGAGATTAATGACAGATAGAAACAGGAGCATCAGGGTGAAGGTGGTAACATGGCCGGGTACCAAGGGTGAAGGATGAGCAATCTAACAAGTATGAAAGATAGGCTTTTTTTCTAAAAGAACTCAATGCAGTCCTTGTTCCAACAGTGCCCTCAGGCCTGATGAGGATGGATGCCAATGTCAAAGCTTAGAGGGCTCAGAGGAGACTGGCTAATGCTTACTGAAGGAGAGCACTTGCCAATATCTGAGTACAGTTAAGTAATAAGTAGAAAGGAGTAATACGCATGTTTGCAAAGTCTCATGCTGGTGAAAACTCCTTATGCCTTCTTGGCATACTTTTATTCAAAATGGGAACAAAAGCTAAACATTTCTTATTAATATTTGCTAACCTTGGGAAACGTCAGAATAAAAATGGAGTCTTTTTTTATTAAGACTAACAAAAATATAAATGCTAGGAGGTTGTAAAGAATGGTTTTCACCCATAGTTGTCTAAAAGCAACTATCAGAAAAGATTTTCCTAGAACCACAACTTTGTACAAAGGCTACAACAACTTTCTCTCTGTCTCTGTCTCTGTCTCTCTCTCTCTCTCTCTCTCTCTCTCTCTCACACACACACACACACACACACACACATACACACACAAAAACCCACGTATATATGCACATGCTCATGTACATACACTTCCCATCTGGACATCTCCCAGCAACTGCCTGTTCAACCTCAGACTGCTGCCACCTTTGCTATGAATCCTTGTAGCTAAGAACCATTTTTAAAAATTATTTTACATAATTCTCCTTATGTTCATATTTAAAACCCTCCTTTGCTCCTGGAATATGCTCATAATTTATTTTGGCACAGAATTTTTCATTGAGATTCTATTTTATTTCCATATACATATCATTATTCTTTTGAGAATTTGTCTCTGTTCTGAGAGAGTATGATGTACCATCTCTTTGAATAGGGCATCTAGGACTATTTTACGTTAGGAGTTCTGTTTACCATATTGCTGAGCAGAAAAGTATGTAACCAAATTGCATCTAATTTTTCTTTTGACTGATTATCTATCCTCATATTTCTGGTAAGGAGCATTATATCAATGGGAGATAAAGTCTATCAAACAAATTCATTATCATCCTCATACAATATTGTTTTACTTGCTGTCTGTTAGTGGTGTCAATGACCAATAAAGAGAGAAAAGATGAACAGAACTACAGAGAGAGGAGAAAATATTCAGAGGCCTAAAACAGTCAATACTCTGGTTCCAGTATTACTATACCCAGTGTATTTCTCAGGTTGTTGAGGTACACCGATATTCTCATAATAAATTTCCCATTTTCATTTTGCTAGGTTGGTACTTGCTAGCAGTTATCACAGGCCAACAGGATTCCAGGCAGATCCACTAGAAAACAGGAAGAGAAAAGGGCTTAAAAAAAAACACCTTAATATTGGTTTCTTGTGAATTTCAAATCTTGTAGCCCAATCCCACTCATCTCCTTCTGACCTCCTATCTATCCTCCACCCTTGGAACCTTCCTCCCAATAGAGAAAATAAAATCTCATTGTGGAAACTGTAGTGTGTCACACAGAATACTCTTTTGCCCACACTTCTTTGCTTGCAAATGTTCATTGTAATAATGTGTTGGTCTGGTACAGGCCTCTGGCTTTTGCTGCTCTATGGATACCGAAACTCATTAGAAATTAGCTAGGATATCCTGTTGTTGCCTCGTGTCATGGAGAACCTGCTGTTTTGGGTATTCATGCACTCTAGCAGTTCTTCAATGGGGTAGATGTTGGGGTGGGCCAATTCCAAACCCTGGATCTGGGTCCCAGAGGTATCCGAGCTGCTCACCAGCTTTCCTACAGTCATGCCCTCAGGATTAGCTCACCCTCAACCCCTGCTATCAGGGCCAGCTCTCCAGCTCTGAGGATCCTGGGGCCAATTCTCCCTTCTGCCATTGGTAGCAAGCGGCAAGAGGGAGGAGATTCCCTCCCTCCTTCCCTCCCTCCGTCCCCCCCCCCCCCCCCCTCCCTCTCTCCCTCCCTCCCTCGCTCCCCTCCCCCCCCCCTCTTGCTCTTGTCACTACATGGCAGACAAGTTGCAGGGACCAGCTCTCTCCGTGCACATATCCTCAGGGCCAGCTCACTCTGAACCTTATCCCCACCATCAGGGTCAGCGCAAGGTGCTGCTCAGATGAGACACAGGGCTTGCCATCCCAAGTGCTGTAGAAAGTGAGGGAAAGGCAGGGCCAGCTTTCCTGATCTCCTAACCCTGTCAGGGACAACTTTCTTGATGGACATTGGTGGTTAGGGCCAATGGGAAGGTAGGGTATCCCTCTCTCAGTGATACCACTACATACCAGACGAGATACGGGCCAGCTCTCCAGCACTTGACTCCTCTACTGTGCTCCTTAGGCAAGGTCTGCGTTTTCAACTTGTGTAGGTGGTAAGGGGCAAAGCCAGCCCTCCTGCTCTCATTACTCCAAGACCAGGTTTCCCACCTGCCATAGGTGGTAAGGGGCAAGAGGTGGGGAGGGCACCTCTCCCTCATCCATGATACCACACAGGTCCAGCTCTCCTATTCTTTTTTTTCATCTTTCTAAAATTGGGTATTTTATTTATTTACAATACAGATGTCCTCCCTTTTCCCTATTTCTCCTCCCTAGAACCCTGTATCCCATCCCCCCCACCTCCTTTATGCTTTTATACCATTTTGCCCCCCAGTATAAAGGTCAGTTCTAGAAGGCATTCTTGTCAGAATGACCTAAGACAGGCTCAGTCTTGTTCATGAAATAAAAAAAGAGGGAGAAGCAGAGAACTTTTGAGGCTGCTTGGCAAGAATCTGACAAGGGCCAAGGACAAGGAAATGGGCTGCTTGACAGGAATATGACATTGGCCAAGGACAAGGTAGTAGCCTTAGGCAGGAATCTAACATTAGGCTAGAATAAAGAAGTAATTTCAGGTAGGAATCTAAATCTTAGGCTAGAACAAAGAAGTAATCTCAGCTCTCCTATTCTTGTATCAGGGGCGGGGCTAGAGCTCACCAGGACCTCCCACAATGTGCAGAGCAGCTGGCTAGGGGCGGGGTCAGCTCTCTGGCTCTTATGCCCCCAGGGCCAGCTCTCTCACAGTGCCCAGGTGAGGCGTGGGGTCAGATCTGCACAGCCTCCAAGCAGCAGGCCACACTAGTGATGTTGCCCTGGACTATAGTAGTAACAGATCTCTATTGTTTCAGGTCTTTGGACCCAGACATGCTCCCCAGTGGCATCACAGGCCAGAACCCCACTATGGTCCCACGTGGCATCACTGGTTACTCACACCAGGCTGTTCATCATTACCTTCATATCTCCAGTTCTGCTTCTCTTCATTGTGCCCATATCCTCTGTTTCTTTTTCTCTTCTCCTTGCCACTTACATGTTTCTCTTAGAAGTGCCCGGCATCTCTGAGTGTCTGGGGTTGTCTCAGGAACAGTCTCAGAAGTGCTATGCCTCTATGATCATGCATCATAGCTCTGGGAAGGGGTTCTCTTGGGCACAGTCTGGCCATTAGTCCTAGGTGGCCCTGGACTGGTGGTTGTCTCAGGCTAGCTCCCTGTCGAAGGCCCCTGGTACAGGACTTGTGGTTTGTCTTAGGCTTGATTTTTATCAGGAATGCTAGGATTTCAATCATTCAGATGTTCATAGGTCAGAACACAGAGGGTAGACATAGCCTCTATCCCCTCTGCTACCTACTTTACATGTGATACAGCAGCCACACCTACACAGCTTCTAGAGGCAGGGTCCCTTTTTTAAAGCTGGTCTCAAAACAAGCAAGGTTAGACCATAAGATCACCACTGAATAAATGATGGGCTCTTTCCTTTTCTTATGGAACGTTTTCAAACAGAAGAGACAATGGGGATTTTTTTTTCTCCAAAGAATAATTCTTATTAAAAAATTTAAAATATATTTATCATAAATGGCTCTCAAACTTTTCCTCACTCTTCATCTATTTTACTGAATATATCTGGCATATACTCTTTCAAATCATAGCAATGATGTTTAAGTAAAGAAATCATGTCTATTAATCCTTCTTTACTCTGGTAATTATGTGATGTTTGTAAGTCATACAATTATTTAGACCTTTTAATAAGGATAAAAGTATGTGAGTCACAGTGCACATATCTCATTTTTAAATGCACAAACTTTATAAAAAATGACACATGTCTAAAGTGATTAAAACTAGTAGAGATAAATATAATAAAAAACACCTCTTAGTATTGATCAGTGGGCTGCCAAGTGATACACTAGATTGCAAACAATATTATGTATACTTAATTCACTTAAAGTTGGTTTTTTATAGTTCTTTATTGCCCAAAGTAAAGGACTGTATAGTACATACCTTTTTACTTTCAAAGCCAAGTAAATGCTTTTTCTATTTCTAAGTGCTTGATTAAAGTCTGTTGAATGAAGGAGAAAAAAAAAAGTTTCAAGCTCTTGGCAGCTCTATTGCTTGGTTTATGTCAAGATTATAGTCATTATCACTGCAATAAATGGAGATAGTTTGGAATACAACCTACAATAGCTTTTCAAGCAAGGGGGTCTGAAGCAGGGGAATAGCAGTAGGAAGTATTGGTGCTCCCAGAGGACCATCTGACCTAAGTTGAGGGATATTGACTCCCAAAGAAAACTATACAGTCACTGTCCTGCAGGCTGGACAGTAAAAGAGAGTCAACTTGGAGTTACCATGTATCTTACACGATTCCTAGTGGCTCCAAGGTGATGATCAGAGTTTTAAAGATGAGATCTTCAAGATTAACAGCTTTTGCTGTCTCTAAGGGGCTGCAGTAAGGTCAATTGAATTCAAGTAGGGCCAGAAGAATCCAGAAGTGAGAGGAACTGCTGTCATTGAAGCAGCAGCAGCAGGTCAAGTGGTGTAAGATACCTTGACGAATTTTCAAAAGTAAATGTAGGACTAGGGCTCCAGCTCAGTGGTGGAGTGCTTCCTTAGCATGGGTAAGGTCCGAGGTTCAGTCTCAATCCTACCAGAAAAAAGAAAAAAAAAACTGGAAGGAAAGAAAATAGCACATGTTGGTGCAATCTGACCAGAAATACAGCCTAAGTGGGATATGCAGAATTCAGTCTGAATCCTTGTGGGACACTTCATGGTTTAAGTCATCACCTGGAGAGCTACATCTAAGGTACAAGGATAGACTATTGTCTCTGCTGATCTGGACAGGACTGACCAACATCTCAGCCCTATTAAACATTACACTCCACAGAAGATTTCTGTGACTCTGTGTTTTGGTTTGTCTGGTTTCTATTGACAGATAATAAACTGCCTTAATACTTGGTGGCTCAAAGCAATGTCTGTTTTATTACTCTCATAGATTCTAAAGATTCTTTCAGTTAGCCTGTAGTAGAGATGACATGTTTCCATCCAGTATCTGTTAACTAAACTAAAAGGACATAGAGGCTAGAGGCTAGGGAGAATCAGCAGTTGGGCTCTAGAATCATCCAGCTTTTCAGCTGGTTTGATAAAAAACACAATGGTCCTGTCCAGAGTGTTGATGTCTTCTCTACACGGCATGGCTTCTGTGTAGACTACTGGTCCTAGGCTAGACTTGTATGTCTTCAATCACCCAATCCCTCCATAGTGCAGTTCTCCAAATTTAATTTTATCTGTGAATCTGGCAGATTTGTCACTTATGGGTCAGTCTTTGAAGTCAAGTGCCTTTTCTACTCTATTCTACAATAACTGAAATAGCTACAGACTTCCCTTGTTTCAAGGTGCAGAGACTTCTTCCTGGTTGAATGTGTCAGTATCATACTAGAGAGCTTATGGGTGCCAGGTGTCATCATCAGGGATAAAAGATTTTTAGAATACTTGTCTCAAAAGTAATTTGAGTATACAGAGATAGAATCTTTCTGACAGAGAAAGAGGTGGTATGGCAGATAGTGTCCTACTTCTGACAAATCAGTCTCCAAGGTCTAGGTGTGCCAATGAGAACAGAGGTTAGACATTAAAAATAGATTATCTCTGATCTTGTTGTTGTATTTATTATAACTTCTTAAACATCTTACAAATGCATGGTACTGAACAGCCTTAAAAATGTAAGATTCTTTGATCTTCACTCACTTTTGCACAAAAACATATACCCATTGTTCTAGGACTTACCTAAGAAAGAATAAAAGTTTTAAAGAAAGCAAAAAGAGAACTATAGGAGAAAACACTAGAAACATACAGTTTATATTAGATTTAGTGCATGTTACAGTTTACAGCCTGCATTTTTATTGTTGTA